CGAAGGCGAGTCAATTTATTATTTTCATTAAGAAGGAAACATCAAGAACAAGTCTACGTTTGTCAAGTGACGGTAAGTATAATAAAAACAACCTATTTTCATAGGGGGGAAGAAGGGCAGTCGGGTCCCAACCAAAATTCCTAAAGGCAAATAGCAAGAATTGCTTTTGATCAGATTCAATTGAATCTACATAGCACCTATATGAAGGAGGCCACACAACGGAGGCATACTCAAGTATAGGTCTAACCAAACACATCTACGGCCTATTCGTAATGTAAGGATCATCAAGTTCTTTCGACCATCTCTTTATAAAACAAAGCGCGTACATAGCTTTGCTTATCGAGAGCTCAATACGCAAGTTAAAACGTCAAATAGACCGCCTAAATCTGTGAACGAATCGACGTCGTTCAACTTGTTCGAATCAATAAAATATTGAGTAATGAATGACTTTCTTCTTGAGAAAGAAAGATTCTTAAATTTATTTAGATTTAGTTTCAGAAAATTCAAAGAACACCATGCAACCAAATTATTCAAGTGACCTTGAAGCTGATGTGATTGCAATTCTACGGAGAAAGAAAAAAACAGTTTCACATCGTCAGCATACTTTAACATCTGGCTGGAATTAATCACCGATGGGAGATCATTAATGTATAAACTAAATAAAATGGGAGCTAAATGACTTCCTTGAGGTACGCCAGACGTTGCGGGGAATTCATCCGAGGTGATGAAGTTAAACAAAACTCTGAATGATCTATTGTGCAGATAAAAGCTTATCCATTTCACTAAATAGAAAGGGAAGCCAGAGGCTTGGAGTTTAAAGATAAGTAAGCTATGGTTAACGAAATCAAATCCTTTGCTTAAATCAGTATATATTACATCAGTGCGATAGCCACTATAAAAAGGCTTGAAAATATGACAAGTAAACTCTAACAAATTGGTGACCGTAGATCTTCCTTTTCGAAAGCCATTCTGGTGTGGAGAAATATACGAATTAATGGCAACAGTCAAATGCTGAGTCACAATTCGCTCGAACAGCTTAAGCAAGACACTCAACTTGGCTATGCCATTATAGTTCTCAACGAGTTGCCTACTACTCGTGTGAATAGGGATCAGGAAAGTACTCCTCCAACGCAAAGGAAAAACACCTAAATATAAGGACATGTTAAAAATCTTTGAGATAACGTCATAACTCGAGAAGATTTAAGCACACATGATGGAATTCCATCAGGTACAGGCGCACAACTATATTTTAGAAAGCTCAACCCTTTAAAAACGTCATTTTCAGAAATAACCTAATTGGGAATTAAAACCAGATTGGTTACAGGATATGGGTAGTTTACTGATAAATCGAAATTAGCAGTCGAAAAGTTTCTTCGGAAGTATTCAGCAAAGAAATTGAGATTTCAAAATCATTCGAGGAATCAGAGCCATTAAGAGAAACATGGAAGGAATGTTTGGAAATTTTTCTTTTGAGTTAACAAATTTAAAAAAGTATTTTGGATTACTAAACAGAGAGGATTTAATGAACTGCAGATATCTGCAATAATATTGGTGGTTGAGGGATTTAAATCTATGCCTTGCTGCCGAGTAATTGAAATAGTCAAAAGCAGAGCCACTTATCGAATATTTTTTGAAAAGCGTGTTTTTCTATTCTTGAAATATTTAATTGTCTTATTAAACCACGGGAGACACCTGCTTCGAGATCGGGATTGCTTGACCGGAACAGATGCAGAAATAGCTAGATTTAAGGTATTGTGGAACGATGATAGTAAGGTTTCAATACTTCCAGTTGAAAAATCATTTGAAAATTTATTTGAAAAAGTTGAATTAGGAACGTTGCAGAAGTTCAACAAACCATCATGCTCGTAATGAAAGGAAATACCCAATACTAGATGATAAGGATCCTCAGGAAGACAACGATTAATACAAATCTCAGAAAAATTAGCAAAGCAAAAATCAAGCAGTCTCCCATCGCAATTAAGGGCACCGTTGTATTGAACTAAATTATCATCGAATAATTCATTAAAGAACACACCAGCTCCATCAGATGTTGAAGTAGGAATCAAAGAGCCAGAACTTCAAGGAACACCGTTCAGTTAAGTATTAAAAAAATATTTCTGAAAACCATTTATATTTTCACGGGGTATCTTTATGATAACATGAAGGGCTCCGCAGTACGCAGCGTAGCTGGCAAAATATAAATCTAAAAAAATCACTTGAACTACATGGTTATAGTCAGTTAGGTGTCTGAGGATTATAAAAATATTGGTTTCTGTGTATTTGACGCGTGTTTAAATTAAAACTTTCAATTTTCGACCAAAAGCAATCTTTTGTCAATAAGTAATGCTCAAACTAATTTGTTTTTAAAATATTTTAACATTTAAAAAAAAAAAAAAATTATTGGAGTTAAGCTACAGTCGTTTCGAAAAATCGTGCTTCAACGAAAACGCGTTTTAATATATGTTATAGACATACGCTCTTAAGCTTCTTATTAATTTTTCCATTAATGTGCAATTTCAGTGCTATAAAAAAGTTCTGTTATCTTCAAACATGCTTCCTCATACTCCTTCTTTGAAAATTTTATGCTCGTGCCCTCCACTTTTGTCGCATCTGTCAAAAGCAGAATTGTTTTAGACTTTGCATGTTGCCAAATGGCAAAAAGTTGCATAATCCTATAGCCGGTTTCACAATTAATTTTCAAAACTAAATTTAAAATTTTTAATTTCTTAAGAGAGGTCTTTCGAATTTTTCTCAGCGTTATAGTCATACAACGGCCGTCTCGGCGAAACTAATCGTATATTTATGTAGTTTCGTTTAGAAATGCTTTGAAATGAGCTTCTAAAAACGTCGTCGAACACATTCGAGAATTCAATAACCCTGCTGATTTCCCTGGGTCCTTAAGTTCTAATGTAGGTTGGAAAGATTGGAGTAGTTGGAAAAAATTGCGAACTATTAAGGAAAATTTGGTGCATAATTAAATTTTTCAACATATATTAAGAATATATTTGAAGCCAACAAATACATATTAATATTCCGAACAATTTGGAGTGATGTTATCTCTTAAAGATTACTCTTCTATCCTAGCGTTCTCGTTGCTATTCGTTCGAACTCCACACCTTTCAAATAATGTGCAATGTTTTTCTCCATTGTTTTTGATGTTTTTACTTTCAAGTCGATTGTGCAAACCCGACACTGTTGCTTTTTTCCTCCCTCCCTCTACCTACAATGTTTCTTGACTATCACTGTGCCTTCAAGTACGCAGAATATTCCCCGAGTGGCTAATAAGCAAAAAAAAAAAATTGCCTCCGAATTTACAATAATAGTGTACCAAATTTCATTGTAATATCTCTAGATACAACACGTAGAAACACACCGTGCGGAGACGAATATTCAGTAGGAGTTCACTAATCTCGCGAAGTAAACATTTACAACAGCAACAATTTATTCCAACAATATTGACAAAATTATCGATAAATTAAATTTTTGAACAAAATTCCTATTTAAATAAAATTCAAATCACCGGGTGCACCGTTTATAATATTTAATATAATAAAGCACGATTTAGGATAACTAAGCATGATGAATATTGCTATGTTTTTTAGCTGTCTTCTTTGAAAAGTGGGGACTATCGTATTATATCTGACAATGTTGATTACACAAATTTTTGTTGCTGACATCTTTTAGTCAATCCAGAGTAACTCCCTCATGTCACATCAAGTCACAAAAGCTAGACACCAAATTGTTTGGATGGCGCAAGCAATGAAACTGTTTTTCAATTTTCCAGTAACACCGTGGACACCATTATTGGGAATGTTGCAAGGACTTTTACTAAGCAAAGCGTTCGACTTTCGAGCGGTTTAAAAGCGAACAAATGATAAGAGGATTAATACAAAGGATAGGATTCCTAATTTTTTCCTACGGAAAACGAAGATCAGCCCTTAAGTAATTTTCGCGTTGCATCTTAATCATTCCTGTGATGGTTGGTACTTCGCGAAAGGATTGCAAGTAATCAATCATAGTACTGGTTAGTAAGCTTGGCGCCGATGCAGTCAATTTCTATCCTGTCTAACTTAAGGCAACTTTTCGATTCTCGATTTTTGACGAAAATTAAGAAGAATTTGTGCGATGGAGAAATACTTAAGCATTAGTAACCTTGATTTAGTTCAGCTCATTCTTCGAATCATGCTTTCATGATTTTAAATAATTAAAAAGTTTAACAAAAAATGTCAGTTCGGATTTTGAAGAAACGTTTTATAAACTTTAGTAAAACGATATTGTCTTCAAAATGTTTTTATTGTTTGGATTTTAGAACGGATTTGTACGTAAGATTAACATTTATCTAGACAAATGATTTTTTGTCGTAAGTGGTCGATCGATATTGTTCATTTTTGTGCTCTGTGTTCTGCAACGGTCCAATCCTGTCAACGCAGTTTTACTACTGATATACACAGGCGAAATTCTAATTGCGAACTCAAAGTGGGTAATAAAAATGCTCAATAAAGTATTAAATGACCATCTGAGGACTCTGCCTGAACTTTTCAAAATGTGAATACTAAACTGAAGATGATCAAATGCGAGGAAGCAATAATTTATTTTAAATACATGAAAATTTATACTTTTCTCTTTGATAGATGTTTTTTTTCACTATTGCAATCGTTTTGAGTATCTCAAAGGCACTTAGAAAGAAAATAAAATATCAGTCGGTAGTCAACTTAGTAAACTCAGTTTTAAATCCGCCATAAGTTAAAAATAAGCCGAAATACAAAATTAACTGCTGTTCTTATTTGCTTTTTTAAGGGAATTAGATTTAAAATAAATTACTCATAGAAAGAAATGCTGTAAAAACTTTTCCTGAGTTTAAGAAAGTCTACGGGAAATCTTCTTCTTCGAAAAGCACAATTAGAGGGTGGCAACGAACACCCAAGAGAGGTAGTTACATGAGAAAACCACTTTTGCCGCTTTGCTAGAGTGAGAATATATATATCGTTGGAAAAGAAAAAATGGTATTTTATTTTAAAAGTAATGTAGTTGATCCTCCAGCTTTGCTTTATATGGAGAAAGATAAATATGAGAATGAAGAATTAATTAAGTGGGGGTGGCCAGAAGATGTTTGGTTTCATGTAGACAACTTATCATCAGCTCATGTTTATCTCCGATTGGAAAAGGGTCAAACAATTGATAACATACCTACGAGTGTCCTGAATGATGTTGCTAAACTGGTCAAAGCTAATAGCGTACAGGGCATCACGTTAAACAATATCGATATCAATTACACAATGTGGCAAAATCTCAAAAAATCCGCCGATGTGGAACCCGGACACGTTGCATATCACAATGAGAAGGCAGTAAAAAAAATTCGCGTAGAAAAGCGAATTAATGATATAGTAAAACGATTGGGTAGAACTAAAACCGAAGAAAATACAGATTTAAGATTTCAACGTGAACAGCGTGATGCTTTAGAAAGAGAAGAACAAAGGGCTGAAGTACGTCGGCAAAAAGAGTTGGAAAAAAAATTGGAGAAGGGGAAACAACAAGAACAAGTGTTACGAAATTATACATCGCTGTTGCAAGCAGATAAAATGACTTCAAATTATGATAACGGTAATGAAACGGATAATTTTTGGTAGAACTAATAAAAACTGATAAAACGTCGAACAAATCCTCAAAATTATTACCGATATTCTAGAAATATTAAGAAACGGTGTATTCCAAATTTTGCAGTAAAAATTTATCTATTTTCCAAATGAGTGCAATGTTTGTTCGGAGAGAACTCAGTGCACTGTGGCACAAGCAATTGGTTAAAACGACAAAATCGTGTGAATTGGTGCTCGAATGGCTACTACATCAATTGTATTCCCAGATTTGGCCCCGAGCGAAAATTATTTGTTTGAAAATCTCACAGCCATCATAGGGAAAAGATTGTAATCAAACGATAAAGTCATTGAAGAAACGGAAGCGTATCCTGTCCTAACAAATCTTTGCATAACAAATACACCAAAATATTAGAAAAATTTTGGAACTATTCTATCATTTTTGTCGAATGCTATGAGGGTGAATAAGGTAGTATTCTGCAAAAAAAGAACAAGTTATATATTACTTACTCCCAGGAATTATCGACCGATTACTACATTGCATATTAAAAATATTAAAATTTATTAAATTTGTCACGAAAGTAATATTGCGAAATATTATAAGTTCTTGGATATAAATAAATGCAAAGAGCAGGTAAACAGAAATGGAGAAGTGCGCTGAATTTTAATGGCGTGTAGTTTCCGTCCTTTGATATTTTAACACTTAATTGTTAAATGCATTGGTTGAATTAACATATTTATACTTACACTAGGTATGTTATCGCTGTTACACACTTGCTCTGTTAATAATCGGTCTCGAATTTCCCAAGCAAAAATGCTAGGGCATTCTCGTTTATAGTCAGCAATTTTTTGTACGACGGGTGTTGTAGCAACTCGTGGTTTCGAACCACCAATGGCACGTGGCTTAATTGATCCTGTTTCATAATAACTGAAATGAAATTTGAAATAAAATAATCAGTGTAATTAAATTTGTAGTAAAATAATCAGGTGAGTATAAAAACTGTTTTCTTATCGCCCTCCCTGGACCTTTGGAATCCTTTCGATAGAGTGCCTCATGTATTGCTCAATGTTTATAACAATTTTAATTTCTCTGTAATGTTATGCAGTTTTACCTACTCCGTAACTATTGATAAGGTTTCCTAGAAGCAAGTTAAAAATTCACGAGCTCCTCAAGGATTGGTTTTGGGTCCTATCTTATTTAACTTCTTTCTGAATGACAAAACTGAATAGAGACTGAACCATATTTTCAACCTTTTAAACTGTGATCTGTGGACTACTAATTTGAAACTGAAATGAATGAATGTTTAGCTAAAACTAACAGTTTGTTGCTCAATAATTCTCTCTCCATAAATATAAGCAGCAAAGGTCTGTCTTAACATTAAAATATGTGATACGTATATTAAATTCGTGAAGTCTATACGATGTCTGCGAGTATTTCTTAATAATAAATTAAAGTTTGGTCCTCATATGAACTTCAATCCTCTTATGAACAATATTAAAGTGCAAGTTTATCCAACTTTACGAAAACACTACAATCTATATTTCTACTTATTAGTGAACGTCAAAATTAATATCGCCCAATCGCTTCTAATGTCATATATAAATTATTGCATTGAAGTGATTACATAATGTCCTTTATATAAACGGCAATGAGCCAACCAACAAATCGTGCCTTTTATCTATATTATCCATCTCAGAGGTCATATTTGAATTTTCTTAAAATTCTTCTTTGAAGATTATATTAGAATTTTAATTTATCTGTTTAAAATCATTAACTTTAAATCACCATATCTCTTTCCGCTTAATGGAGCTAATAAGAATCTTCAAATTTTCAATCCGTTCACAACGAGTTCAGTCATCGAAAACTCATTCGTTGTATGCTGGTTGTTCTTGGAGCGATCTCTGGCCAAACCTTATAGCTGTTAGCAGTAGCGTTATTCTCTCAAGTGTCTATTTAAAGTGATCAAGCGCGAATCCGTATAGGTGATTTCAATGTAGCAGCTATTGTACAAATCCCCAAATCTTTATTCTGCTTATAATGATCTCAATCTATGGAATCCATCGGTTATTGGTGCAATATCCCACCAAATCTTAGAGCTGTTCGCAGTGACGGTAATCATTGATTTATTACCTTGAATTATCTATAAGTCCGTATTGTCAATTCTCTCTTATTTATCCAAATTTTTTTCATAAACTTTGTAACAGATTTATGAATTTAATTACTGCATTATAATTTAATTGCGAAATGTATTCGCAGTTTGTAAAATGCCTAAATTGTGTAACTAATTTTGGATTTCCTAATGTAAACAAACACTGGTTGTAAATCAAAACGAGGAATGTTGTATTGTAGCGAAAGCGCTTAAACAGCCGCCAGATGCGATTTGAGAGAACATCGTCTAAGATGAATATACAAATTTAGCTCAGTTTATTGTGCCGAGTACGTGAAATTTCTGCTATGCATGGAAATACGTAACCGTCTTAACCACACCTATCAGCGTTTCTATATCTTTTGAAACTACATTTAAGACTTCAAAGCTTTGTTTAAGTTAATACATCAACTAACTCTAAATATAGTGTTATATTGAAAATCTCGTCAACACATCTGATAAACAATTTCAATTATTTTAAATTTAAAACAGAATTACCCTGACATTCCATTTTCTTCCTGTCAATTTTGCTAGGTGCGCAACATAGTTTTCCGCCTGGTCTCATTAACAAAACTTGCATTTAACCATCGATAATCATTACTTTATTCTTTCCTCTGGGCATAGGTGAAAGGAATCATTTTCGATATCATAATCCGAATTGATTAGGCACCTAATTGTAAACTGATAAGTCTTAATGATTTTTGTAAGCTTTTTTTTAACTTGCTTTTTTCACAGGAAAATTTGTAACTGATATTTCGGGCACCTTAAAATGTCTAATCCTGATGAACTTTTGCACACATCTGTAGTTACGATGACAATTCAATTCTGTACAATCAAATATTTTATATATTCAAACTGGCAGCTGCTCCAAAATGGCGGACTATCTCTTTTTGGACAATTCAATGTTGGTTTAGTTAAAGGTTTGCAAGGCGTAGAAATATTCCTCAAGGAAATGTTGTAGCACATATCTTCTTGTTCAGCGTGAATAGCTGAACAGATTTTGGCTGCGCAAATTGTGATCGCAATCGAAAATCCTTTCTTAGAAGGACAAACTCTGCCTCAAATCTTATTAATTTCGTTATCTTTCAGTTTGAAAATTAGTAAAAAATTAGTAGATGGATATGCTCCTTAACGGAAAGATGAAAATTTCAATATTTATTATCACTAATGTCCTAAATTTTGTATGCCTCTAGTCAAAATCATTGTGTTAGTTGGCGTTCGAAACGTGCAACCTCACCGCTTTTATAAAAAGCTTAGAAAGAGAGTTGCATGAGTTGTGTGTCCTGATGACTACTTATTGTTTTTGGCACACCAAAGTGGGGTACAAAACTATTTACAACAATATTCGTACAGTTGTGGAGGTGTTTTGCAAAGGATAAGTTTGAAGTCACTGAGTGAATTGTAGATAATTATAAACTTTGAAAGCTAATAAATATGTTTCAATGCAAGTTGCTTCTGATAGAATTTTCAACCCCAACTTAGAAATACTTTGTTAAATCTCGTCCGTTCCATGATACCCAACCAGCGTGCATCTCTATACCACTTCAAAACTTCCCTCTACTGTCACACAGACGGAAATGCTTCCAACTAACTTCATGTCAATTTCTTACATATTTATAAGGTTGGAAAGGACAATACCATACCATCTTTTAAATGTTTGGTTTTTGATTTTTGTTGTACTCGTTATTAGGTTCCTTACAGGATTACTAAGAAGACAAAAAAAATATTTTTTTTTTCTTAAGTTATATGATGGTAATCTTTAATATGAGATGCATGTGTTTGTTTCGTACTAACTTCGCTCTTGATATATGGCCATAGTATTAATGTACATCAATTCTTAATCGAATAAGTTCAAATCGGAAATAAAATATATTCGCCGAAATTTTTTTATGGTATTTTCACAAAATGCTGTCCCTAATTAAGAGTATTATTGTAAATTTACAGTTTTTTAAACCCACCGCTGCAGAATGGGGAAATACTCATTTTGTCATAACTTTTGCATGACCCAAAAAATTCAGCCATTCTACATGTCTGTTCGTCTGTGCGTTTGGTGTGTGCTGTTGACACTCTCCAGGCCGCAGAAATGAAGATATTGACTTTAGTAAAAATGTGGAAAGTTTTGCACGCAAATTGTTATTGGAAACGGGCCAAATTGGTCAGAGCACAAGCCCGCAGGGGAGCGTAAACTAAATGCAACCACGTTTTTCTAAACCAAAATTTGTGGTTGGTTGCTCATTACACAAAAATTGTAAAAGATCGAAGGCTGAAATTATCCACAACTATCTTAGGAAAAACTTTACTGTTTATGCGCATAATTGATAAATTTTTTTTTTTTTTTTTTTTGATGCTTTATGTTTATTAATCATTAGGTAACCAAGACATAATGTTTAAAATTATTTTGTAAATTCCTCAAATAAAGATAGATTATCTAAAAAGGCGTTAATTCTAAAATAAATACGGTGGACACCGCAATCTGGTGCAGGCGTGGTGGTGTTAAGGCTTTATGTTTTTTAAAGATTAGGCAAACAAGACATAATGTTTAAAACCATTTTGTAAATTCCTCAAAAGAGGATATGTTAATTAAAAAGCCCCTTAATTCTAAATTAAATACGTTGGATACCACGAACTAGTGAATTCTTCTTTATAATACTAGCGATGTAGGTAACAAATAAAGGAATTTCGAAAGTGGAATGCCACAAGTTAAGTGCATTAAGTCTAAATTAATTGTGGTGTCGCGACATGTTAGTTAAATTTTTCCCCAAAAATACCGTCCATATAGGCATGAAATAAGGAGAGTGGGTAGAATGCGAAAGTGCGTTAATTCTAAATTAATCGTAATGGACTCAGGACGGAATAGACTGATTTTTTTTAACGTTATCTGTAAAATACAATGCTACACTTCAAGCACTTTAATAAAACAAAAACTTGTCTCATTTTTAAACATTCAATCACGATATTAAAAAAGATTTTCTTGCTTTGGTAACTTTGCTGACGGCTTCGTGTATGATTTCTAAATCTGATATATAGCTTTGACAAAAGTTTATCATATTAAAAAATTTGTCCACTAATTGAATGGCGATAAGTTTTCGAAATTTTGAATAGTCATAAATTTTGCTTTAGATGGATTTGAATTATTTTCGTGTACGTCAAATTAAATTATAATTGTCACACAAAGACCAAGTTTATTATAATTTACGCCAAGATTACATAATGAAAATGATAAAATGTTGAATGTTTTAGGCGTTTGCGTACTCTAGAAAGAGAAAAAGAATATTGACGAAATTTTCTTTTCTTCACAAACTGTTCGCAGGTTTGGATGAAGTTTTTGAGTCCGAAGGATTTTCTCAGATATTCTCAACCAGAAACTGATACGGTAACAGTTATTTTGGCAATATCTCCTTTCGTTGTTGGGCTCTGATGGTGTGCCTTTTAGAGTTTATGGTTTAGAAAAACCTTTTTTGCTTTTCGTCTTCATGAGTATTCTTGATGTAAATAAGAATAGTGCAAATCAACACCTATCATTGCCAATGCGTTTGCGATATTAAGGCCAAAATCACCTAGAGGATGCCAAACACCATAGCAAAACATCCGAAATGTAACACTAGTAGAATTAGAAAAGCTTCATATAGCGGACGAAAACATTCAAACACCCAAAATTCTATCTCGATTGGATGATGTGATCCCAGTTTGCAAAAAGCGTGGGGGATTTCAGCCTAATTTGTAGAAGTTGATATACATATTAGAGATTTGACCAGGTCAGGATTCAATGATCAACCTACTATAATGACCCCTTCATCTAGCGTCGGTTGAAGTGTATTGTGTTTGAAAGACAATATATTCATGAGTGACGATCGGTTAATACGCCGATTATACCTGATATATAAATATATCATGTGACTTGATAATGAATTCGTTAAGCATGGGCAAGCCAATGTCTTATCTCTTCTTATTACCTAAAGGATTGATTCTCAGTTTGCTAATTTCGATTTGACAATTTAACAAGTTTTATGAAAACACACACTTCCTTACGTTTACTGTCTTTATAACCGAAGGTAAGGACTGCGAAGCCAATTCAGTCTGTAAATTAAAATCCACTGACATTAAGTCATAAAAGATGTTCCTAATAGCGTGCATGAGTTTAGCAATTGTAGCGCATTTCTTTGTATTTAATAATCGATATTCCTTCAATAACATTTTGTCAAGAGTTTGCTATTGTTATGCCACAGTCAAACATTTTAATAGAGTTTAGGTCAGGAAGAATACTATGTCCCATTAACGGATTGTTTCTGTCTCGCGCAATCAAACATAACAAGTATACGTGAGCTGTGCGTGGAAATGCACGTATGTATATGAAAGTCATACATCTACAGACGATGAAATACACGATTTAACGATCTTAATTGATTTAGATATGTGTTGATACTACTGATTGAAAATTTACGATGAAAATTCAAGTTTTTAATATTATATATGCTCAAAGTGCGGATAATCTCGGTTCGTTCTCTTGTGGTCAAATATGCATTTATTTCAAGTCAAGATCAAAGGCCACACAAAGTACTGCCCATCCGTAATTTTGTTTTCCAACCTCGTAAGCAGTTTCCGAATTCCAGCTCGAAGAAATGACACGTATTTTGAGTCCATTTATACAGCCATTTATAAAAATTAAAACACCGTTTGAAAAAAAAAGTCACATACTGAAAGCCGCGTTGATCGAAAAGAACAATGTCTGCTGGACTGCGGAGAGGGTACGACTTTTCAAGTTAAAGCTGTAATTATTGTTGGTGGCCCTCCCTAGTGATGATTTCATTTGGTTTGAAACCAGAATACGCCACGCTTAACTAACGGTCACAAATTGGTCCACCACGGACATTCAGGTTTATTGTTGGTGTTAATAATTGTTCTTCTCAACATCATGGCTGTATAGGCTGTGGATATCGTATGGCATCTACCATTCATCAGCCAGAAAAATTTTGTGATGCTATCCGTCGAATTAATCAGAAAAAAAATTATTCCCGCAGATTGCATATTTTTGCACACAAGTAGACCTCTTCCAAGCTCCAAGAAACTATGTTGTGTACACTATCGTGTGATAATTTATGCACATGCGTATAGCTTTCTTATAGTATCTTCCAATGAAGAACTCATAATTTTATTCGACAACTCACAACACTTCTTGCATTCTCCCTCATCTCTCTTAGAAAACGGACCTGACTAATTTAAGCTCTCAAAGTTTTTGAAAACAGTGATAACAGCAATTGTTTTTGTCTCCCCTTCTTTTCCTAAAATAGCTTGTTTATTTTGTATAATAAACTTTTCTCGGAAGATAAGCTGTGAAGCTAGTTCACATTTTAAAGGTTTTCATTTTTGCTAAAAGTATAGGTTTTAACCTCTGCTAAGTTATGATTTACCGTGAACAAAAAAAAAAACCAAGAAAATATCTATTCTAATTTGTAGACAACATGCGCATATAAAACAAACTTTTATTACCATCTTAAGACCAAGAAACTATGTTATTACTACTAACTATAATGTATTCTTTGTGTGCATTTACTAAAATGGTATGATGTACAAATTGAGTAGTAAAATTTTTAGAGGCATAAGGTTATTGAAAATTTTTAATACGTCTTGTTCAATTTTTGTAATCAATTTGTTGATATTTTAAAGTCGCCTGATCAGCAACTACTTTAACAACGGCGCAGATAAGTATACAGATAGCCACCTTTTTAGTAAAAACAAAAATGTGAGCTACGCGTGGTGGATTAATCTCACATCAGTTAGCTTTCCGAATATTCCGAGTAACGCTAATACTAATGTACGTTCGCACCTCTGGCTATCTGGTAAAATTTCGATTACTACATAAAAACTTCGCTTGGATTGTCGAAACTTATTTATAGTTTTTACTCCTGTTAGCGTAACTTTACAATTAGTGAAATTTTTGCACAATTTGATAAACGCATATAATTATCCGTTGGTACTGTCTGTGTACTAATATACTCATTATGTATCTTAATTAGACATGCATATGCCTTTTTATGTTAGTTAAATTCGTTTTCTGATGCATTAAGTGAATGTGCATGTATGTTGATTGTGAGTATGTTGAAATGTCGCAACTGTTGTTTAGAACAAAATAACTACCTTTCCCTGTGGTGGCTTGTTTACAGCACTGTAATAGTTACAAAACCATAAACAGGTTTGTTCTCCAAATTCAAAATGTATATGTTTATAATTCGTGATACTCATTCATTACTCTTACGTTTCCTACCTACACCTGAGATATTGTAGACTGTTCCAGGATTAAAATATTGTCGATGCAATGAAGCCGTAATAAAATTTGCCTCATAATACATTTTTAGCTTATTACCGTCGTATTTAAAAATCAAATAAATGCACTGGCACGCCCACAAAAGCAAAAGGACTTACACTATCAGAACATAAAATAAATATCTTTAAATGTTTCCAATTGTAGCTCTACTGCTTTTGAAAGTTTTACTGCAAAAACAATCCGAATTTGGGCATTGCTACGTTACCCCATTTAATACTAAATCTTACACCGATGAGCTCTTGTAACTAATTTGCAATTTAAACACAAATTTTTTGATTCATATTGCATTTCTTAAAATATTTTTTTACTTTTCTTAAAATAAAAATTAACACTACAAAAGAAATATTAGTAAAAATCATTCACACTTTCCGCACATTGTGGCTCATAGTCAGACAGGAATCCCGTATCTTGGACACCAAGAATCCTCTCAAGGACGCAATTCCAGATAGAAATGCATTGGGGACCTATGCCTAAATTCAACTTATTGTCTGACAGCTTCTATTTTTATATAACTTGAAACCCAAACATATATGGCCTATATATAATGTTTTATGTTTACATGATAAATAAATATATTATAACTAAAGGGACCTATGCCTAAATTCAACTTATTGTCTGACAGCTTCT